AGGCTGAGGAAGGAGGATCTCTTGAGCCCAGGAGTTCAAGGCTGCAGTGAACTATGATGGCACCACTGTGTTCCAGCCTGGGTGACAGAGGCAGACCCTGTCTCTAAAAACAACAACAATGTGTACATTTCTTATGTATCTGTGTTTACATAGAGGAAATACACAATTCAGATGTAATGGGAGAGATGGAGAAGGAGAAGACTCACTTTCTTTTTCTTTTTTTGTAAAGGGAATTTTACTGTTCATGCACAGAAGAATTCACAACTGAGAGGACCCAGGCTGGGCATTTGTGTAGGCCTTCCAGAATAACTACCCTCTTTCAGCATTGGCATACCCAGAGCAATGAGAAACCCAAAATAGAATGACAGGCAGAAAGTCCTTTCCTTCTCCCTCACCCAAGGATCCATAGCACAGGGATGCTACAACGAAGAGCTGAGTGGGAAGGCATCGCCACTCTGCTCCCATCTCAAACACCAAGCAGGTCATACCAGCACGAAGCCCTTCAAGAGCAGCAGCTGTGAGAAAGCCCTTTTGAAGACTTGCCATCTTCAACCACCTGGAAACACACTGAAGAGAGACTCTTTAAAAAGTTGGTATAGGCCTGGCCTGGTGGCTCAAGCCTGTAATCCCAGCACTTTGCCACTTTGCGAGGCTGAGGAGAGAGGATTGCCTGAGCCCAGGGGTTCGAGACCAACCTGGGCAACTTGGCCAGACCTCAACTCTACAATAAATCAAAAAATGAGCTGGGCGTGGTGGTGCACGCCTGTAATTCCAGCTACTGAGGCAGAAGGATGGCCTGAGCCCAGCAGGTCGAGGCTGTGGTGGCCACGAATGTGTCACTGCATTCCAGCCTGGGCAGCAGAGTGAGACTCTGACTCAATAAATAAATAAATAAATAAATAAACAAACAGTTGGTAAAAATAAATAAATAAATAAATAAACTGTTGGTAAAAAGAAAGACCCTTGGGAAGAAATTAACCCTTATCGATAACCAAAAAACACATTTTCTTTTTTTGGTCTTTTTTTTTTTTAGCAGAGTCAGCTGCTTATCGAACACATTATATAAAGGGTCTAGTCAAACAGATCAAAGCCTTTGCCATCATCAGACACCTCAGATTCTTCCTTCTTTGCTTCCATTTTCTTCTGATGTTGATTGCAAACAAGCCAGGCCAGAAAGGCTCCACAGTCACACCGGTGGTCTTAATGAGGGCATTGGTCTCATCCTCCGTTGACAGTCACCTTGTTGTCGTCATGCAGAAAGAGGGTCGAGTAGATGCCAACAAGCTCGGACATGGAGGCTAAGGAATGGGGGTGGAGCTGTGGTAATAGTTGCCCGATGAAGTGGGGGTCTCACCTCAACGTGGCCTTAGCTTCCTCAGAAGGACCAAGCACCTTGGTGGCAGCTGGGGAAAGGGCACACACTTTCTTCATATATTACTTTCAATTACTTGCATAATAAAAAGAAATGGGGCCGGGCACAGTGGCTCACACCTATAATCCCAGAACTTTGGGAGGCCGAGGTGAGAGGATTGCCTGAATTCCATGGGTTCGAGGTGGCTCACAGCTATAATCCCTGCACTTTGGGAGGACAAAGCAGGAGGACTGCTTGAGCCCAGGAGTTTGACATCAACCTAGGCAACACAGCAAGACCTTGTCTCTACAAAATTTTTTTTTTTTAAATTAGGGGTTGTAGTCAGGCTCGGTGGCTCAGCCTATAATCCCGCACCTTTGGGAGGCTGAGGTAAGTGGATTGCCTGAGTCCGCAGGTTCGAGACCCGCCTGAGCAGGCGAGACCTCATCGCTACAATAAAATCAAAAAATTAGCTGGGCATGGTAGTGCGTGCCTGTAATTCCAGCTACTCAGAAGACTGAGGCAGAAGGATCACCGGAGCCCAGCAGATCAAGGCTGCGGTAGCCAGGAGCGGCCACTGCACTCCAGTCTGGGCGACAGAGTGAGACTCCAACTCAAAAAAAAAACAACAAAAAAAAATTAGGGATTGTGATGTGCACCTGTAGTCCCAGTTACTTGGGAGGCCAAAGCGGAAGGATTGCCTGAGCCCAAAGGGTTGAGTTTGCAGTGAGCCATGATTGTGCTACTGCACTCCAGCCTGGATGATAGAGTGTAAGATGACAGACCGCAACTCAAAAATACCTATATATTTGCTTGTGTTTGCATACAGAAAAACTAGGGATACATAAGAAACTTAAAAAAATAAGTAGTGAAGGGGCAAGCACGGAACAGGACTTTTCATGATGTATATGACTCATTTATTTTGAGATATGAATAGTAAATATATTACATATTAGAACTTTTAATGATAAGATATAGATGTTGAGCACAAGTGAAAAACGTGATATTCAGAGGAACAATTACTTTACAGAGGAAGCAATGAAGAATATAAACCTAAAGCAGTAAACATTTTCAAAAAATACATTCATCTCACACACACACACACACACACACACACACACACACCTGCCAAAGCATTTTGTTAGCCTTAGAATATTACCAAATCTCTTTAATTTGCTGTTTAGGCCTTCTGGAAACTTTCATTTCTTCCACAAACATTTCTTTTCTTTTCTTTTTGATTTGGAGTCTCACTCTGTCACCCAGGCTGGAGTGCACTGGCACACTCATAGCCACCACAGCCTCGACCTGCTAGGCTCAGGCGATCCTTCCGCCTCAGCCTTTCAAGTAGCTGGAACTACAGGCACATGCCTGGCCTATAACCATATTTTAAATTTCCCCCCTTTGTTACACTACATACACTGTTCTGCATTATTAAAATGTCAGTATATCTTTGAGACCTTTTCCTCTCAGTATACAGAGAGCTTCCTTGTTCTTTTGTTGTCATAGTTGTATAGTATTCTATCACATGGTTTAACTATCATTTATTTTCCCAGTTCTCTGTTGATGGACACGTGTTATATCCAAATTTTTGCTATTACAAATGCTGCAATGAGTGCCTCTGCACATATATCACCTATTCCCTGGCAGCTATACCAAGATAAATTTCCAGCAACAGGATTACAGAGCCAGATAGTTTTTTTGTTTTTAACTTTTTTACTTGGGGGTCTCTGACACTCAGGCTGGATGGAGTGCAGAGGTGTGATCACGGGTCACCACAGACTCCAACTTCCGAGTTCAAGTGATTGTCCCACCTCAGCCTCTTGAGTAGCTGGGACTATAGGCATGCACCACCATGCCCGACTAATTTTTAAATTTTTTTGTAGAGACAAGGTCTTGCTATGTTGCACAGGCTGGTCTTAAGCTTCTGGGTTCAAGCAATCCTCCCACTTCAGCCTCCCAAAGGGCTGAGATTACAGGTGTGAGCCACCAAGACTGGCTGTGGGTTTTGATGAATCTTGTCAAATTGATCTCTCTGAGGGAGGTACCAATTTTGACTCCCACAGGCAGTATCTGAGGTTTTTGCCAGCCTGAGATGTGATAAAGCCCTGCTTTTTCATTAATAATCAAAGATGATTTTATAGCAATAGTAGTAAGTGCATTTGTAGGTTTATTTTCTGTTTACAGTTTTCTTATACATTATGTTAAAATATATAATATTTATTGATAATAAGTGTATCAGGGATTTTGGTGGACATAATAGAGTACTTGTTAAAAGCAGCTTGGCGGCTGAACTTAGTGGCTCACACCTGTAATCCCAGCACTTTGGGAGACCATGGTGGGAGGATTGCTTGAACCCAGGAGTTTAAGACCAGCCTGGACAGCATAGCGAGAACTTGTCTCTACAAATAAAAAAAAGTTAGCTGGGTGTGTTGGCACGTACTTGTAGTACCAGCTACTTGGGAGGCTGAGGCAGAAAGATCGCCTGAAGCCAGCAGGTCAAGGCTGCTGTGGCCATGAGTGTGCCACTGCACTCCAACCTGGGCGACAGAGTGACACTCTGACTCAAAACAAAAAACAACCCCCAAACCTGTGCTGCTCAGGCTGATCTTGAACTCCTGGGCTCAAGTGATCCTCTGGCCTCAGCTACCCAAATAACTAGGACTACAGGCTGCACTACCACACTTAGTTTCATATTTTTTTATTTTGCACTGGGCACCACAAAATATGTAGTCAGCTCTGTGTACATATATATTATATGTATATTATAACTGTCATTGATATAAATGATGTGTAGCATACAAATTACAAATAAGATATACAATATTCTGTTATAAATTCTATGTAGCCAATTCTCACAGTATGCTTTCTCTAATGTTGCATAGCCTCCATGGTCTTAATTGACCAATGAATAATTTGGACATAAACATTGATATTTTCTTTTTGTTCATTAGAACAGCCAGAAAGAACATATTTTATGTTAATGAATGAGGGAAAAGTGAAACAATTAGGAGGCACATGGGAACTTCCCTAGTTTGTCAAAGCCATCAGCGACTTATTTGCTGACTTGGATAATACTGTAAGAATATTTCCTCACATTTTTTGGTGCTATTCACAATGTAACCGCTACAGAGCTGACATACTTTTACATTTAACCTGCATTATTAACATTTTCTCCGCCAGTTACTTAAGTCTAGAAAACGGAACAGTTATCATTTGATGATTTGCGTGGTGTAAATACTCCCACCATGGCAGATTTTAAGCTACCAACGGATGCCACTGAATGAAAAGTTGGGAAGAGGAGAGCAGTAGCACAGCCTTTTCCACAATGCAAATACAAAAGACATAAAAGTATCTGAACGTAGCAGGCGCTCAACAAATGCTTATTGCCTGAATCAGTTAATAAATCCTACTTTCGACTAGTGAAAGTGCCCAGTAAGTCGTAAAGCGACACGCCTTCGAGGTCTGGACGTAGCTGCGGCGCGCGGTCCCAGGCAGGAGAAGGGGGTGGGGACCAAGGGTCGCCGCCCCGCCCCCGCCCCCGGCCCCGCCCCCGCCCCCGGCCCCGCCCCCGCCCCCGTCTCGGTCTCCGGCCCCGCCCCGCCCCGCCCTTCGGCCAGCACAACCCGGCCGGCCAGCGCCGCCAGCCTGTGTTTCCGGGCGGGCCTCCAGAGGCCTGCGCACAAGATGGCGACCCCGGCCGGCACCGGGAGGCGCCCGCGGCTGGGCCTTAGGCTCTAGCGCGGGGCTGGGGCGGAGACAGACTGGGCTCAGGTGGCAGGTGGCAGGAGTGGCGCCGCCGGGCCTGGGGGGTGCAAGACCCGCTCGCTGCTGCCCCGGGACTCGCCTTGCCCCGGGGCGGAACCGTAGGAAGGTCAGGTCCGGCCTCTCCGCCCCCCTCCTTCCTGGCCCCCGCGCGGTCACCGTGCGTGGCTCACTTTGAGAGTTGACTTCAGCCACGTGCAGCTTCCATGGCGGCCTCGCAGGCCCTAGGGGAGAAGATTAACATCCTGGCGGGAGAGCCGGCCAAGGATGGGGACAGGGACCCGCTGGGGAACGACTGTTCCGAGCAGGACAGGCCACCCCAGCGCTCCTGGCGGCAGAAGTGCGCCTCCTACGTGCTGGCCCTGAGGCCCTGGAGCTTCAGTGCCTCGCTCACACCGGTGGCACTGGGCAGTGCCCTGGCATACAGATCCCAGGGCGTCCTGGATCCCAGGCTGTTGGTGGGCTGTGCTGTGGCTGTCCTGGCTGTGCATGGGGCTGGCAATTTGGTCAACACTTACTATGACTTTTCCAAGGGCATTGACCACAAAAAGAGTGATGACAGGACTCTGGTGGACCGAATCTTGGAGCCCCAGGATGTTGTCCGGTTTGGAGTCTTCCTCTACACTTTGGGCTGTGTCTGTGCTGCTTGCCTCTACTACCTGTCCCGTCTGAAACTGGAGCACTTGGCGCTCATCTACTTTGGAGGCCTATCTGGCTCCTTTCTCTACACAGGAGGTAAGCATTGGTCTGCTTCCTGTGTGGAGTCTTAGTTGCATGGACTGGAAACCGCGGCTTTGTGTAGGAGTTACAGGGACGTCAAAGGTTCTTTTCTAAATCAGGCCACTTTACCTGAAGTCTGTAAAGTGTGGATCATGTGGATTTTTAAAAAACAACAAGTTGAGAAGATCCTGGCTTGACTTATAGATGTTGGGCCTGACTCAGATGTTTGTATGGACATTTTTTGTATCTAGTTCATTTTTGTCATACTTTATAGGACCACAGTTTCAAATATTAGTGGAACGAAATTGGAAGAACCAAAAATAATACAGCTGGTTTACTTCTAACTAATTTGCTAGGTGACTTCGAAGAGGACTGATTAAGGTAGTGATGGGCAGGTGTTTAAACCCTATTGATTGAGCACTTATGTGCTGTTCTGTGTGAACATAGCAGTCACAGATCCCAACCCTTGTGAAACTTATTATGTGTTATTACAAGAAGAGACAGGAAGTAAATATGGTAATTCTATTTAGGATGATCAGTGTCCTAGTTTGCTCAGGACTGAGGTAGTTCCTGGGATGTGGGACTTTTTGTTAAAACCAGGAAAGCTCCTGGTAAGCTGGGTTGAGTTGGTCACCCTGATTACAGTATGTGAAAGATGATAAGTGCTATGGGGAAGAGAGTAGAGCAAAGAAGTAGTTTGATCAGAGTAGGCTTCCTAAGAAAGGCAATATTGAGCTAGATTGAAGTAGGTGAGAGATGAGGCAATTGACCAAGCATCCATCTGGGGGCCGAGCCTTCCAAGACAAGAGAACAGCCAGGACCAAAGGCCTCAGGCAGGAGTGTTCTGGAAGAGCTTGAGGAATAACAAGGAGTCCAGTGTGCGAATGAGGGAGAAAGCAAAGGGAGGTGAAGTGAGAGAAGGATGTTCAGGGAGGGTAGGGAGGCACGACGTGATAGGACGCAATGGTTTATGTTTTGTTTTGCTTTTTTTGAGTTCGAGTCTCACCCTGTTGCCCAGGCTGGGGTGCAGTGGCACACAAGTTCACGGCCACCACAGCCTCCACCTGCTCGGCTTAGGCTATTCTTCCACCTCAGCCTTCCAAGTAGCTGTAACTACAGATGCACACTACCACACCCGGCTAATTTTTGTGATTTACTGTAGAGACTAGGTCTCACCAAATTGCCCAGGCTGGTCTTGAACTTCAGGGCTCAGGCAATCCTCTCGCCTTGGCCTCCCAGAGTGCTGGGATTGCAGGCTGAGCCACCATGCCTGGCCAGACATAATGTTTTAAAGAATCGCTCTTGCTAAGGTATTGGGAATGGATGAAGAGGAGGGGGCAAGGGTAGAGGAAGGAAGACCAAGTGGGAGGCACTTGCGTGATCCAGACAGAGATGTTGGGTGACTTGGATCCAGGGAGTGGTAGTGGAAGAGGTAAGAAGTCAGATTCTGAACAAATTTTGAAGGTAGACACAGTTTGCTGATGAGAAGTGGGTATGAGGTCAAGAGAAACAGAGGAATTAAGTATAGCTCAAGGATTCTGACCTGAGCAATGGGAAGACATCAGCTGGAGCAATGTCTCCATGGGAGACAGAAAAGGCTGAAGGTAGAGCATATTTTGAGGGGCAGTCAGATTTACTTTGGACATCTTAATGTCTGTTACAGTTCCAAGCGGAGATGTCAAATGGGCAATTGGATATACTATGGGGGGAACACACAAAAATGAAATTACCTTTTGCAGGGTGGACCCTCGTATAGGCTTCCCCCACTCTAGGTAAGTGCTCTAGGAACCCACTGGCATCACTGTACCAGTTTGCGTAGCTGTGAGAGACGATTTGCAGAAGAAAATGTCCCAGGTGACTGGTTCATCCACCGGGACAACACACCTGCCAACACTGCTGAGTGTTCAGCCGTTTTTGGCCAATAACGGCTTGACCCTTGTGCTGCACCCTCCCAGTTCACCCCATCTTGTCCTGAGCGATGACTTTTTTTTGTTTCCCTGATGAAAAAGTCCTGAAAGGGTAACGTTTTGCTGATGTGGAAGAGGTGAAACAAAAAATGGCAGAAGCACCAAAAGGCATCAAAATTGATGAGTTTACAAACTTTTGAGCCGTGGAAAAAGCATTTCGATAGGTGTATTGCATCAAGAATGAGGAAAACCAGGACTGAGCCCTGGAGCACTCCAGAGTTAAAAGTTGGGATTAAAAGGGGGCTGTGAATGAGCATCCAGAGGAGCAAGAGGAAGTCTAGGAAGCTGTGGTGGCCTGGCAGCCAACTGTAAAATGTTCAATAAAGGAAACCAGCTGGGTGCTATCATAGAAAGTATGATATGGTGATGGTGAGACCCTCTCTGTGAAGGTGACATTTATTTTATTTATTTTGGTTTGTTTATGTATCTATTTTTTGAGCAGGAGTCTCACTCTGTCACCCAGGCTGTAGTGCAGTGGCATGCTCATGGCCACCGCAGCCTTGATCTGCTGGGCTCAGACAATCCTTCTGCCTCATCCTTCCAAGTAGCTAGAACTACTACTTGCGTGCCTCCATGTGTGCCACTATGCCTGGCTAATTTTTTATTTATTGTAGAGACAAGGGTGCGTGCCACCATCCTGGTTAATTCTTTAGTTATTGTATAGATGAGGTCTCACCAAGTTGCCCAGGCTAGTCTCGAACCCCTGGACCCAGGCAATCCTCTCACCTCTACCTCCCAAAGTGCTAGGATTACAGGCATGAGCCACCACACCCAACTGAAGGTGACATTTAAGACTTGAAGGAAGGATAAGGACCAGCTGTACGGAGTCCTCAGGCTTGAAGAACCCACAAGTGCCAGTGTCCTGGGTGAGGGAGAGCTTGGCTTCATCTAAGATCTGCTAAAAGGCCACTTGGATCCAGGGGAGAATGAGACACAGCTGGAGAGGCAGGTAGGACTAGGTCCTGCTGGTCTTAAGGAATCCCATTCCCCACCCCCAGAGCTTCGTCTTTGGGTTACTTTTCTCTCTCCATTTACCCCATTGGTGATTTTAGCCAGTCTCTAGGCTCCAGATGCTATCTGTTAAGCTGGTGACTCTTCAGCTCCATGCTCATCCACCTTGGACATTTCAAGCTCATCATGTCTAAAACATAATTCCTGGTCTCCCCAAATAAACCTGCTCCATCCACTGCTTTTCACATTTTGCTCAATGGCAACTTCATCCTTCTAGTTCTCCAAACTGAACGTCACAGCAGTGTCCTTGAATCTCCTCTCCTGTGGCTCTCATCCAGTTCATCAGCAAAGCCTGTGCACTTTACTTTGAAAGTGCATTTGAGATCTGACCACTTCTCACCATCTCCAGCCACCGCCATGATCATCTCTCCCTGGATGATTGCAGCAGATTCCTAACTGGTCTCTTTGCATCTGCCCTTGTCCCTTTCAGGCTGTTCCCAAATCAGCCACCAGAGTACTCCGTTGAAACACTGGGCGGCTGCATCCTTCCTGCTCAGAACTCTCCAGTGGCTTCCACCCCTTCATCTGAAGGCCAGGGTCTTTACAGGGACCTCCTGGGACCTCCATCCTCTGCCTGCCTCCTCCCTCCTCCTTTCTTCCTGCTCACCCGGGCCTGCCACACTGCCCTCCTTTCCCTGTGCAGGAGTGTGACAGGCCTGCCCCCTCCCTCAGGTCCTTTGTGTGGGAGGAGGGGAGGAGTGCAAAGAATACAGGATTTTTTAAAATAAAAAAGTGCGTATTCTTACATGTTTAAACTTCAGTCACCTTCAAAGTACTTGCCATTTAATGCAGTGCACCTATTGAAATGCTTTTTCTACTGCCCAAAACAGTTTTTGAACTCAGCGGTTCTGATGCCTTTTAGTGCTTCTGCTGTTTTTTGCTTCACCTCTTCCACACTGGCAAAACGTTTCCCTTTGAGGACTTTCTTCATCTGGGAAACAAACAAACAAACAAAAAAGCCATTCTTGGTGAGATCGGGGAATAGGGAGGGCGAGGCATGAGGGTCATGCTGCTTTTGGTCAAAAACTGTCGAACACTTAACCTGGTGTGGGCAGGAGTGCTGCTCACAAGTCACCCATCATGAAATGGGCAAATGTGCTGAATGAATCTCACAACTGGGTGCAGTGAATCACTCCTGTAATCCCAGCACTTTGGGAGGTGGTGTTGAGACGATTCCCTAAGTCCAGGGGTTTGAGACCAGCCTGAGCAACTCGAGAAGACCTCATCTCTACAATAAATCAAAAAATGAGCTGGGTATGGTGGCATGTACCTGTAGTTCTAGTTACTTGGGAGGCAGAAGGATCCCATGAGCCCAGCAGGTTGAGACTGCGGTGGCTGTGAGCATGCCATTGTACTCCAGCCTTGGTGACAGGGTGAGACTCCAACTCACAAAAAAAGAAAAAGAAAAAGACTCTCCCCCAAAATGTCCTGAAGCTGATTGCAGTCTCTCACAACAGCGCTTGCTGGTACTGCGATGCCGATGGGTTCCTAGAACACTTACCTAGTGGGGGAAGCCTGTACTACAAGGGGCCTGCCCTTCAAAAGGTAATTCTGTTTTGGGGGGGGTCTCCCCTTGTAGATACTCCTTCCTCTGTTTGGAACATTCTTCCCCTTCCTATCTGTGGTTTGCTTCCCAACCTCCTTCACCATTTGCCAGTGTCAGCTACTTAGGGAGGCCTCGCTTTCACCTTCCCCCCATTTCCCCCCTGCTGCTCTTCTGTACTTTATTTTTCTTCACAGCACACACTACCTTCTGACATACCATATCCGGTATTTGCTTGATTAATAGTCTTCCCTCTTAGACTGTGAGCTCCCTGCGAGCAGGGATTTCTGTCTCTTTGATCTTAGCTGAAGCTCTAGTGCTCAGAGCAGTGCTTCAATAAATATTCATCGAATGAACAGATTAAAATGTATGGAGCAGAGTGACAGCATAATCTGGTTTAGGTTTTTCTTAACATTGACTTGTGTAGATATCTAATGACCTACAGTAAAGTGTGCATATCTTTAGTGTTACAGTTTGATGAATTGTGACAAATACATACAGTTGTGTAACCCTTGCCCCTGTCCTGTTGCAGAACCTTTCCATCACTCCCAAAGCTTTCTTGTGCCTCTTGCCTGTTAATCCCACTCTCCCTGCCTCTATCCAGAGGCAGCTACTGTTCTGATTTCTTTCATATCGATTAGTTTTGCCCAGTCTAGAATGTCATGTAAATGGAACCATTCCATGTGAACTACCTATAGGTGTATGTTTATTTCAGTATGAGCTCTGTGTCTGATTGCTTTTGCTGACCATGATGTTGTTGAGATTCTTTAAGTTATGTGTATTGGTAGTCCTTTTTAACTGCTGAGTAGCATTCCATTGTATGACTATGCCTCAGTTTATCCATTCTCCTGTTCACGGACATTGGGTTGTTTTCGTATTTTGGCTATTGGGACTAAACATTCATGGTCAAGTCTTTTTGTGGATATTTGTTTTCATTTATCTTGGGTAAATGCTCAGGAATGGAATTGCTGGGTCACAGGGTAGATGATGTTTAGTTTTAGGAGAAACTGCCAGGCTGTTTTCTGAAGTGGTTGTATTTGCATTCCCACCAGCAAGATCTGAGCATTCCAGTTGCTCCGTTTCCCTGCCAACTTTTTAATTTATGTTTTAACAGATTCATTCTTTCTGTTGTTTGGAGAACTGGCCCTGTATTTCACTGTGCAGGCTCATTCAGAAATGGTGTTGGGAGGGGTAGGAATGCCTAAGGGGAAGCTCTCTGAGTCAGGTGGGACACACGGACGGGCTTTGGGCCATATATCGAACACTTAGGAAACACATTGCTCTCCAAGGGCTCTGACCTCTCTCCTCCCTAGAGGGGTTTGTGCTTGGTTTTGTATACGGCCTACTTAGGTGGGGACAGAGATCTCTGCTCACACCACTTTCTGCCAGGTGATCTGAGGATGTGTTCTTGGAGAATCAGCCAGAGGTCAAGGTTGTAGTGCTGTTGCATTTTCCACAGAGCCCTGAAGTTGGTTTGGGGAGCTGAGAAAACAGCAAGAGAAGAATGGGCAGCTGGTGGAGAAACTTGCTAGAGTTGACTGGGAGACTGCATGCCCGGCATTGTCTTTGGGCGAGGGTGATCCCCCAAATGTGTGAGGCATTGCAGGAGACATCCATTTCCCAGCTCAAAACTGGAGCTGGTGTTCTGCTTGCAGAAGCCTCCACATGGAGACCTGTCCCAAGTTATGTATTGGAATGCGGCTTGGGGTGCAGAACTCACTTGCTGGGTGTTGGAGGGATCAGTGCTGACACTTTTCCCAGGGAATGCTTTGTTCTAAAGAAATAGGAGTGGGCATTTAGCACAAAGAATTCAGCTGCTAATGGGATGGTAAACCCAGGCCGAGTCTTGTTCCTTGGCTCCCGTGGTTTTCCCATGCAGGCCATTGCCACTTGTCATTTTTGCTAGTTAAAATGCAATTGCTCACTCAAGATTTTCTGTATTTTCACCTCCTGAGCCACACCATGTAGCTTGTGTAGACCCTGAGTTTCCTTTGCTTCTGTAGCAGTGTATGTGCAGGTCCCTTGGGTGTCTCTCGTCCAAGCCACACTGTTTTGTGAGCCTGTGTGGGAGAGTCTTCCTGACCTTGGTCCCAGATTCAAGGTATTTGTTACTGTAGCGCTGTGTACAGTTCAGCCCTTGTGCCAAGCCTTGGGATATGAGCTGTGAATAAGTTGTGAACAAAGCCTGCCTCACAGAACTTACAGTTCAGTGGGAAAGGCAAAGATTATGCTATTGGAAGCACAATGAGTGAAGCTTGTAAAAGTGGCAGTCAGGTTGCCAATGGAGCATATTGCAAGGGGATCAAATGTGGCTTAGCGGTGAGGGGAGGTTGTCTTGAGGCATGGTCTTTAAAGGCTTGAAGGGCAAATAGACATCAGCCAGGCACAGGGAGGGGGTGTCTGAAAGCCCTGAGGACTGAGGGAAGTCTGAGTCGAGCGGGGAGAAGAGCTCAAGGTGAGGCAGGAGAGGCAGGGGCCAGGTGAGCCGGGCTGCAGGTCTGGGACTTTTATTCCAAGGACAAGTTGTTATGGGTTGAAGGTATATGCTGAGGTGGGCATAGGGAGTGGTCAGGTTAGTATTTTTGAAGGCTCACTCTAGCTGCATTGAGGAGATTCAATTAGAGATGGGGGCGCAGTCACAAGATTGGAAGCCAAGAGGCCAGTTTGGAGGGTGTTGCTGAGGCATAAGATGACCATGACTTGGACTGGGAATGGAGTGAGTGAGGTGGGATGGAGAGAACAGGCGGGTTTGGGCGAAGTGGGTCAGACAGGCTTTGAAGTAGGTGGGCAGGACAGGAGCAGGAATTAGGGGTAGTTTAGTTTTAATTTCATGGAAACCAGAAAAGGGAAGCAGCTTCATAACTGGCTACTTTGTTTATTGCAGGAGTGGAAGTTTCTTTATGTGGAAGTTTAGAGACCCTGAAATTTCACTGTGATTCACTGGGGGTCTTCAAAACCAGAAGATGCCCCCAGAGACGGCAGGGGAGGGAGGTGGAAAGGAGGCTGAGTGGCTGTTCCGTGGGGGACTGCCCTCATGGTGGCTTGCAGGGGCTGGTGGAGGGTGAAAGGCAGCACAGAGCGGGCCTGTGGGACCTGAGACCCTTCCCATGGGCTCCTGCCAAGTACATGTGTGGGGGCCGAGCTGGTGGGGACAGTAGGAAGGGAAACTTGGGTATGAACCTGGGAAGAGGGACTTGGAGATCTAACGGGCAGTCTGTCTGCACCTGTGTCATGGGAGAAGAAGTCAGATTTTGTTCTGGGGGGAAAGGAGCTGAATGGTGCCCACTCTCACTGTTCCCAGCTGGAGTGGTCCACCTCCTGCCTGGCGAAGCCCTGCTCTTCCAGCCTTGCTCTCACACCAGCTCTCTGTGTGTTCTGGCCACAGGAATCGGATTCAAGTACGTGGCTCTGGGAGACCTCGTCATCCTCATCACTTTTGGCCCGCTGGCTGTGATGTTTGCCTACGCTGTCCAGGTGGGGTCCCTGGCCATCTTCCCGCTGGTCTACGCCATCCCCCTCGCCCTCAGCACTGAGGCCATTCTGCATTCCAACAACACCAGGGACATGGAGTCTGACCGGGAGGCTGGCATTGTCACGCTGGCCATTCTCATCGGCCCCACCTTCTCCTACATTCTCTACAACACGCTGCTCTTCCTGCCCTACCTGGTCTTCAGCATCCTGGCCATGCACTGCAGCATCAGCCTGGCGCTGCCCCTGCTCACCATTCCCATGGCCTTCTCCCTCGAGAGACAGTTCCGAAGCCAGGCTTTCAACAAACTGCCCCAGAGGACTGCCAAGCTCAACCTCTTGCTGGGACTTTTCTACGTCTTTGGCATCATTCTGGCACCAGTGGGCAGTCTGCCCAAACTTTAAGGGGCCCATAGTCCACAAAACGTGTGCCCCTTTCTTAGGATGTATTGACGTCTTCGAGAAGGGAATGTGATTGGCAGTGACGGCACAAAGCACAGGTGTGAACTCCTGCCTTCTAAGAATTATTATTATATTCTTCAAGAGAATTCTGCTGTTTTTCTGTTTGTTTTTGTTTTTCCCATTTTATGAGGAATTTGAAAACCACTCTGATAATCAGGAGGTGAATTACACACATGGTCCTTGTCTTACTTATAATTTCCACTAGAGGGTGGTGTTAGGCCACTTTTAAATGGATTCAACCCAGTTTCTCCTTTTTTTTTTTTGAGTTGGAGTCTCACTCTGTCACCCAGACTGGAGTGCAGTGGCCGCTCCCGGCCACCGCAGCCTCAACCTGTTGGGCTCCAGTGATCCTTCCGCCTCAGCCTTCCAAGTAGCTGGAACTACAGGCGCGCGCTACCATGCCCAGCTGACTTTTTGATTTATTGTAGAGATGAGGTCCCGCCTGCCCAGGCGGGTCTCGAACCCGCGGGCTCAGGCAATCCACTCACCTCAGCCTCCCCAGTTTCTCCTTTTCCCATACGGAGCGTGCAAGACCTTATGAAGGAGTTGCCCAGTTTGGCGTCCCCTCCTGACGGGGCCACAGTAACTAGGCAAAGTATCATCCTGTTATTGTGGTCTTGCAGGCAATGACCGGTGCCCGCCTCATCAGCACAAGGCACCTGTCTTTGGCTCTTAGCACTGGTGACCCTCCGCAGCTCCCGGCTTTTTGCCTAAATTGTGATCCAGGCGCTTTTGTCCTTTCCTCCTCTCACTGCCACAGTGGGGGAAAATGTCAGATCACCCTGCAGTGAGACAGTCAAACTGGGGACTGGGAAGAAAAAAACCCACCCTGGAGGCAACTGAGAAAATCACTCTGCTTTTGGATAGAAATTAGGTTGTCTGTTTTCCCTTTGTTGGATCCACCAGAATGATGGGAAGGGCTCGCAGCCCTTTCCATAACGATCAGGAGCCCCAGCATTGAAGAGGTACTGCCAACCTCATCAGTACACAAAGCCCACAGGGCCACTCCCTCCCTATTGCCCTGCTGATGCTCCCCACACCCACCCTCCATCTCTATCATGTTCCTGTCTGTGTGTTTCCCGTTGGTGGAGCCAGACTGTTTGGGCAACAGCTTAGCAACGGAGTCAGGGACAGCTGCCACTTTCCACAGAGCTGCAGGATGAGCAGAGCAGGGACCCAGTGAATGTCCAAGCCAATGGACATAGAGTCCCGAGCTCTCTTCCGCCTTCACAGTTCAGTGAAGGAACTGTGTCTTCGTCCGTGCAGCACTGACCCTGCCTCTCCCCTCGCGGGAAGGTGGCTGAGGGAGGTCACAGTAGGGTGGATGAGGGAAAGTGTCATTTCTGAGCTAGAATTGCTCAGTTGCATTTGGTCTGGGACTGGAATAGATTGCAGCTGTCCTCGTTGCTTTTCGTTGTGATTATGGCTGTTCTGGTGGGCATGTGAGGTCTTGGCCTGCAGAAAATGACGAGGACTGGTTCTTAATTCTTCAGGTCAGGCTAATTGTGATTTGGCTTCTTGAATTGGAATTGATCAGCTTACTTGGAAAAAATGTCTTTGGAAATTGCCGAAGTTCCTGTAAGTTAAAGGTGGTCTGTCTGCCAAAGAACCAGAATCTTGGGACAGTAGGTGGAGGCCGGGAACCAGGGCAGGAAGGGTGCCCCGTCTTTCCTGCCCTTCTTCCCAGCACCATTTTTGTTTTGCACCAGGACTGTGGCATGTTGGTGCTCACAGGGGTTTTGCTTTCAGCAAAGCTCTTCTGACCTCTCCTCAGAGCAGATAATTCACAAAGGGCCTACCCTGAGGCTAGAGGACTGAGGCCTCCTGCGTCCCCGTCAGGCCTGCCTTTGTGGCCATGCCCATCGGGGCTGTCAGATGCTGCACTGTGCCCTGGTGCAGATTTTAATGCACATTTTTATATATGAATGTTCCCAAAAGCCAAGTTTGGCACTAGGTTTTATATGCAGGTCACCATAATTTGTATTATGCCTCCAATTCAGTGAAAATTTTCTTTAGACATATTAATTAAAAAAAGAAGAAAGATCAGTGGTCTGGCTTCCTGTTTTTCTTTGCTTTCCTTCTACTTTTCTTATTGTCTGATTGTGAACTTTGATTTGCCCATCTCAGGGAGACCAGGGCAGGTAGGGGAGGGGCAGATGGCCTTTGGTGACGAATTTGGATAGAGGTTGACCAGATCCAGTGAGCCCTTAGAAAAGGCAGTGGGGATTGCTTGGAGCTAGTGAGGATTTGCCAAGAGGCAGTCGGCAGGCAGGCCAGATCAGCCTTGGTTCATTTTTCTTCTTTCGTGATGGGGTCACTGTGTTGATAGCTAGAGAACACATAGTAGATTGAGTACACTTGGGTTTCAGCTAGGCATTTGACAGTGTAGTCTGTGAACAAGGCAGAGATGTGTGGGATGGATAGCGGTGTAGTCAGATAATTCCTGGGGGACTGAACAAGCGGCAGGAGAGAGCTGTCCCTGTCAGATGAGAAGGGAGCCTTCAGCGGCACGTGCAAGCCCTGCCCTCTGCTCTCTGCCCAGCTGGATTCAACACCTGTTATTAATGACTCAAACAAGGCAGCCACAATTGCAGGTTTCATGAACCTTGGAGGAAGAGCTTACAAAATGACTGACAATTAGGATCCTCATAAATCAAAAGGCTGCTTTGTTGGGTCAAATGGAAATACAAAGCAACATACTGGGGTCCCAGAGATCCACAGCATCAGCTTCAGGAAGGGGAACCCACAGTGTGACAGCCATGGAGATGTGGTGGGGTACATTTTATCAGTGACTGGGATCCCACATCACTTGTGTTCATTCCTTTGAGTCAGGTTTATTCTGTTCTGTGGCTTGGTGGCTGGAAATTCAACCCTAGTCACCTCTTGAGACCCTTCCCATCTGTCCAGGATCATCCAGGACTCTGTGGGGCCAGAGCCGGGGATCTTGGCTGGGCCCTTGGTCCTTTTGCCCACCATGTGTAAGTCACCTCTCCACCACCTGATGCTGGGTTTAGCTATGGAATCTACCCTTATCTTGGGCACTGCTCCCCTAGATGGGTTCAGAAGGCCCCTTCCACTGACAAGGACTGTAGGCCTGCAGGGCACTGGTCCCTGCCAGCCCGTTTCCAATTTCTCCCAACCTTGGGGCACTACCATTAGCCCCACAACCTACCCCACCCACTTCCCCTACTCAAAGGACTTTTGCACTAAATCCTACCCAGGGGACCTTTAGAAGCTCAGTGCTGGCTTCTTTTGCAGTTGGGTGGGGAAAGATGTGAATATATACATCATGTGTTGTCTTACTAACCTCCCGTGGCCCTGTCTTAAAACCAACACCTGAGCCTGTGACCTGGTCAGAAGCTCAGCCTGAGTCAGTAATGAGCTCCAACTTCTAGGACAGCTAATGTGATCCAAGGTGGAATTAACAGGAGATTAGTGCCCGGAACAAGGAAGGCGAAGTCCTGCCTGACCTCATGTTGGTCGTTCTCCATGTGGTAGGCTGGGGCCAGTCCTGGGTACCTTCTTTGCTTCTTTCTAGTTGGAGTCAGTGTGGTGAGAAATCACAAACGTGCTGTAGATATGCTGTACCTCAACCTCAGCAAGGCAACTGATGGAATGCTGTGAGTTGTGGAGTGGATGGAAACAGGTCGAGGAGCGTACATTCTTTGTGTGCGTGTGTGCGTACACATATGTGTTTGCATTGGTAACAGCTATGGCAGAGTTGTTTGTTTCTCAGTGTGGGAACCACATTTTGAGAATGTTATTGCCAAACTGGATCTTGTCCAAAAAGCAGTTGGCAGATCGGTGAGGGCCCACGGAACCACATCAGCATGGCAAGGAATCACAGGAGGGCTGTCTTGGGGAAGAGGGATCAGGCTTCTTCTTCTGTGTGTAGATTCAAAGGGTAAAGCCAGGACCAATGGGTGGAAGTCATGTGGCCCCACATTTAACCTCTCAGATCAGGAAGTGCTCCCTAGCTATTAGAGGAATCGTCAGGTGGGACGTTCAAAACATCCCAGGGGGGCAGGGGTGAGCTCCCTGTGACTAGGGGCATTCAAGTGAAAGGATGATTCTTTGTTGGGGACATAGCTGTGAAGAGTCCCATCAGAGAGGGATTAGATGAGAAGAATTCTAGGGTCATCCAGTCCTGTGATGCAGTTGTCGTGTTATTATGGGATAGTCTTTCAGACCTGCCCAGGGGTTGGGAGGACAGAGTACAAGACCCATGTTGACATGTCTCCTTGATGTCAGATTGTTGTCTACCTACCCAGCTTAACAGGCATGGCTGTGTGACTGATAGTCCTTTTTTAAAAAGATTATGTATAGATGCACACACACCAACACGTGCACACAGTTGATTTCACCCTCGAAAGCCCTTGAAGTGAGGCGGGTGACAGCTCCTTCCCTCTGAGCCCTGCGGACCACTCTGCTGCTAATGGACTGTCAGGCTCTTTCATTACGGGCTCCCGACTGCAGGCTGGTGTAAAGCAAGTGCCTCTGGCAAGAACCTGGCACTTGGGTCTCAGCCAGATGACATTTGTGATTTGCCCTTCTTCAAATTGGGACAGGCCTCCCACGGCGAGTGACTGAGCTGACGAGGAGCGGTGGTGCAAACAGAGTCAGGCCCCTGTCTGAGGAGGTGGCAGAGGCTGAGCTGGGCTTGGAGGAGGCTTGCAAACTGCCTCCTGGGGTGGGGGAGGGCTGTCATTGCACAACACAGACCGCCTCAGAAGATGTGGGCACTTGGGGAGGAGCAGGGAGGGCCTGGGTCACATGCTCCCAGCCCGTCTTGGCACTAACACAGTGCCTGGTGCAACAGAGCAGGCACTTGGTAACTGGTTGTTGAATTACTGAGTTATGTGGAGGGGTGGCTGGGCCCCTCTAGGACTGGTCGACAGGTGTGAGAGTTTGTACAGCTGCATCCCATCAACTGGCAGGCCCTGAGCAGTAAGGACAGGCAAGTTCCATGTGGGGTTGGGCGTGCAAGGGAACTGTGGCGGTAACTCTTCAGAGGGTTTAAGATCCAGCTCATTTTCCTGGCACGTGGGAGTCTCCAAATAAGTAACTGTCGGTGACTGGCTGAGTGAGTGGCAGTAGTAAGGCTGTCATTCGACACCTGTGCACTGTGGGCCGGGC